TTCAGTTATAAAAATATCTTAAATAATTTTTATTAAAAACTCTTTTAATTTCAATATAAAACTTAGTCTACTCAACATTTTGATTTATAATTTATAAAAACTTGATAGTTTTTATAAATAATCTTATAATAGCAATACTAGTGAAAACTATAACTATAAATCAAAACAGTATCATCACTCTTTTCATTCAATAAATCAAAGCAGTTATCACAAAGTCCTTGTGAAGGAATAACACTTGTACTATACCCCATAAGTAAAGACATAATATCAACTTCTTTGTTTAAGATAGCAAGCTTGTATTTTAAAACTTTTTTTTTCTTTTTTCTTTGTTTTTTTTATGATTTACCTGTTATACTATTAACTGTCTTAATATTGTAAACACTTGATGAAAATAATCTAACAAAAATAATGATATTTTATTTATCAAATATTCTAAATTAGAGGGTATATACGGATATCTTTTTTTTATATAAAACATTTCTTTAAATTGTGATTCTTTATTTGTATCTATTTTTTTTTTAAAAAAAAAAAATTAACTGTATCAATTAAATTATTTTGAATAAAGATTTTTTTTTTAATACCTAAAATATAAGCCTGTTTAATAATAGTATCAGCACTATCACAAGAAGATGTATTTGTCTGTATTTTGCTATAGAAATTTTCAATAAAATAATCATTGAAATTTACTAAAAACATTTTAATTACATCTAATATTGAGTATTCTTTTTCTTGCCAATAAAAAATATCTGACAAGAATACCAAAAATGCCTTATTGTAGTTTCTATGATTCTAATGAAGAGCAAAAGTCTATATTTAGAAAACTATTTTAATATATTCATTGAAAGAGTCTGAATAAAAAAAAACTGTATATATATTCAAAGTAGCAGGAATGATATTATCAAGAAGGTTAACTAATATCCTATATTCCATGTCTTTATACATAGTTTCAAATTTAGCTAATATCTTTGATTTTATCATTATCTATCTCTAATAAGTAAGTTCAAGGAGAAGATTTATTCTCCATAGTTTTGGTTTTTTTGCAAGAGTTTTACACTTACCAAAAACTACATGAAAGAGTATTTTAAAAAAAAAACAATATATTTTTAGAACTTGTTTCTAGCTGTTTAATGAAATATGAATTGGGTCTAATATAGATAAGAAGATATTTATAGAAGCTAGTATTTTGGTATTTTGATGATACAAATTAGTTAATGCCTTCTGTATAAAAAGTTGCTCAGACTAGTTAGCAATGTTAAGTATTATGTAATTATTGGTAAGCCTAGTATTTTTATTTACTGAGAGAATTATTTTCAAAATATTTAAATAATCATCTAAGGAATGAAATTGACTCTTCTTAATCTCAACTAATTGAACTTCTTCTATAGTTCTTTCTGCTTCTTTTTCTTTTATAGTATCATTATAGCAATAGATAGTTAAAAGATTAATTTTATTAAAATTAATAAGCCTAATTCCTTGTAAAGCTGTTTACTAATTTTTTCTTTGTAAATAGGAAAGATCAAAAATTCTATGATATTGTGTAATTAAGTGTAAACAAATTAAGAATACATCAATATTAGTAGGATTATGGACTGAATTATTGTTATAAATTATTGGAATTAGTGCATATCTTGTAATTTCCTTACTAACATATGTTGAAAAATGAATAGGAGCAGAAAGAACTACAGTATCAGGATATCTTATTCTATGTATATTGTAGTAATCATGATATTATATATGAAAAAACTATTAATCTAATATTAAAAAATGTTAAAATTTAGAAGAATTATATATTATAGATAAATTATAGCATTTTTTTTGTAACTCATTATCATAGCATTGTGTTTATACCTTAACTGTAATTACAGAATTTTGAATAAATTTAAATTTTATTATTTATTATTATTATTATTATTATTATTTTTAATTTTAACTTAGGAATTCTTAGAACACAGGTAGCATACTTTATTATTTTTATTTTTATTTTTTATTTTATTTTATAATACTTACTTTTTCAACAAAATATTTTTGAATATTTTCTAGATATGTAGTTACAACTTTTTTCCTATAATTATCAATAGTTTTATAACAAACAGTAATATCTGCATTATGCATTGCATTAATTATATTACAAGAAGCACTCGATACTACTAAATATAATCTGGTTTCCAAAAAATAGTTATTTACAAGTTTATTACATATTACTACAATTAAGTAATATATATTGACTACTTTTTTTTTATTTTCTTTTCTATTATAAGCTAACTATCTTTTTGGAATAAATATGTTGTAAAGCTCATTAAAGAATTCTACTAATTTGGTTCAGCATCTTTAAGCATTGTCTAAAATGATCTGAGTTTAATTCTAATATGTTATTTTTTATTTTTTGTATAATACTTTAGTCATTAAAGTAATTTTTTCCTCAAATGATAATGGTTTTCTAATGATCATATAATCTTGTCTATTATTATTAGTTGATAATTTATTATAGCAGTTAGGTTCAACAATTTCAAGATAATAAAGATAGCATAGTTGCTTTCCAACTTCTAAGTAGTTATACCTATTAAAAGTGCCTTTTTTTTTGCTTTTCTTAGAGTATATTCTGTGATTTTACAATATTGATTTGGTTTAATCTAGCAATTACGAATAGAACAAAAGCTGAGATTTTTTTAGTCATTTATAAAAAATTTTTTTAAAAAAAATTTTTTTTAAATTTTAAAATTTTAATTCTTTGAAAAAAGCACGTTTATTTTACTAAAAACAATTTTTTTTTTTATTATATATCATTACTTAAAATAATTTGTACTACTCTAATTAATACTACAAAATGTGAAAATATTTTAACTAAGTATACGAAAAACTGCCTAGTAATATGTCAATTACATATTTAGCCAACCAAATTTGTCTATATTTGACAACCACCTGACTAAATTTAGAAAATTTGTATTTTAATATTAGACCTTCAGAATTTTTAACTGTGAACCCTGAAGGATGGGACTGGACGGGGTAACAACGTGATACCGAATCACGTGTCTAGGTAATTTGGGATCGACTTCCCCAGCATCGCCAACAATTATTTCACAGTCATGTAATAACCGAAAAAAAGTGAAAGCTCATTTACTTTAGGGTTAGGGTTTTCAGATTAAGGTTAGGGTTTAGCAAGATATATAGTAAAATTGCTCGAGGAAAACTTTTAATTGGTGCACGAAAGGTGATTACTTATGCAAATTTTCGAGAAACAAGCGATTTTTTCGAAA